CGACAGCCAATGATTTACTGTCATCAATCTGGCCCGCGACAGCCAATGATTACCTAATTGTTGTTACTATTGCTGTGATAAGTTGAAGAAGAAAACACAGAATGATAATTACTCGGTTTTATTTACTTGCAAGGTAAAACTTAACGACAGAAATGATGACAAAGAAAACTTAACTTAAGTATCTAGTTTAAGCATAATGATAACTAACAAATAATTGAAATGAATCACAGTAAAACAAAAACACTAATGAGATTTATGTAATTGTGATTTTCCACCGACAATACTTTGTATTTGTGGATCAATTTTACTTGTACCAATTATCAAAAGAGATTTAAGATGCACATCGGTTAATTAAGATCTGTGAACATTCTTTGTGCACTTCACTTTGGAAAACGTTTTCTCACACAAGTAAGTAGCACCAAAAACAGAAAACAACCCACGAGCAAATTTATGCAAATTATCAAATTGTTCCAGTGAAAGACTCTTATAAAATGCCAACAAAGATGAATTCTTTTCTTTTTATTAATGGCATTTTCAACTCCCTTAAAAATATCCGCCCCAGTTGTTGTGCCGTGAATACTACAATATCAAGAAGTTCTTCATACACTTCATAGCTTTTATCTACTCCGCGAATAAAAATCAACACCTGAGCAGTATCTGACACATCCGTTGACTCATCCAATGCTAGAAAAAACCACTTATGATGTCCATTTTTGTCAGACAGTTGATATGATATATTTTCTGCGATGTCTTGCACCCTCCGAGCCACAGTGTTTGCTGACAAACTGACACTTTTGAATAAATTTACCTTTTCGGGGCATATTTCTTTGGCTACTGCAATCAAGCATTCTCTTATCATTTCTCCATCGGTGAATGGCTTGCCACGTTTTCCGATTTCAAGAGCCACACGAAAGCTGGCGTTATTCAAGTTGGTGAATGAGAGAGTTGACTGTGCTGAAATTCTTGAACAAATTAACTTCAATATACCACGGCCAGCTTCACGATCTCAATCCATTTTTAGACCTCTCAGAGCAAGAACTAACATTATGCTCAATTCCCAATATATGTCATGTGCACAAATTTTAATAGCATTTGTGCCCTTGGTGATTTATTCTTCACTAACCTTCATAACATTATTAGAATTGCTAACGTGTACTTGAAGTAGGTAATTGGATTTAGTTTTTTTTTGTTAATTTTAATTTTCGTTTATGGTTAAATATTGTGAATGAAATTTTCTATTGTCCTGTGAATGGGTAACTGTTGGACAATAAAGCTATTATTATTATTATGATAAACTGAAATCAACTTGTTGAACACTTTCGTTCGAATAGTGTTTGATTTAGTTGAATATTGGACCAATTTCTCATCACTAAATATTGAAGGTATATGATAACGCTATGGTGTATTGTGTGTATTCTATTTAAAAACGTTTCTGTTCAATAGTCCACATTATTTCACAACATTGTGCAACAACCTTTGAAATCAACTGTATCAGATAAATTTAGTTTCAAGTCAGGTTGGCCGAGCGGTCTAAGGCGCCAGACTTAAGCTCTGGTTCCCGAATGGGAGCGTGGGTTCGAACCCCACACCTGACAATTTTTTTAATTATTTTTGAAAGGTATCAGAAAAGAAATTCAGGAACTATTTATTGAAATGAGAGTATTTCCAGGAAATTAGGAAAACATTTTTGGTGTCTATATATACGGGGGATGGACGATAGCTGCTTCTTATCAGAGATACAAAAAAAATCGACAAAAAGTTGTCGAGATTAATGAAAGCTATGTCTGAATAATTATAATTAATGTGTGTATTACAATAAAAGTGTGACAGACCAAACTTATAGGTTTTTGAACACAATATTCCACATATTTGAACTCGATTGAATTTCTAGGGCAGTGCTTCTCAAAAAAATTTGCGGTTATGTTTTCAACAGTTGAAAATCCTCATATTGGTACGAGGGAAATTGCAAGAGAGTTGGATATGAGTCATGCTTCCGTGAACAAAAATAAAGTTTATCCATACATACCAAATTTAAATATATCGAGAACTCAAACGGATTATGATATCAGAGTGCAGTATTGCGAAAATTTACTGAATTCATTTAGCAAAAAACCGAATATTTTGAAATAAGTTTTGTTTTCTGACGAGTCCACATTTGAAACTAATGGCATGGTCATTACAGAGATGGTCGATATATGTTAGGGGGGGCATAATTGAGGATCAGGTAGTATGACCATAGTTTTTTAATGGGCCTCTAAATGGAGAAATTCCTCCGAAATGATATATCAAATTTATTGGAGGATGTACCGATTGACACAAACACGTTATAATACCAATATGATGGCGCGCTTCTCCACCACCAAAATCGGGTAGGGAGATATTTGAACAGGTGGCGCAGGAATGCATGGATTGTAAGAAATGGCACTGGCCCCTACATTCCTATCTATGTGGATTTTTCGAAGGAGAGGTCTATCGAGAAAAACCAATGACACAAGAAGACATGAAGAATGAGTTGAGAGTAGATTTTCGGACTTTCACAAGTTCAGCTTCAATTGAAGTTCAAAGGGAAATTATTTTTTAAATCATGAGCCACCTACTTTGCGAGATTTTTGACCTTTCCAATACGTTTCGAACCATCAAAAACCGCATGAGTTCTTCCACCATCTCACGCACCGTTTGTGATGGAGCTCATCTACAAGGCTGAAATCTTCGCAAACCGACTTCGAACAGTGCGTCCATTAACATTAGATATCATTATCAAATTACCGGTTGATGTTTTCATCTGTTCCGGTAGCGCTTTGGTTCAATTTGAATTCGTGGAGGAAAATTGTACGAAAATCACTCAACGACATGATTTAGTAATGAGCTGGAAAGAGGTAACTGACAAAAATTTAGAAAAAGTGAACATCAATGCATAGACTACAAAATAGTAGAATAGATATTTGTTGAGAATATATATTTGGAGCAACAAAAACACAGACTTTATGGAATTCCGATTCTTAACAGGAAACTTCAGACATTTTGTAACAATTTCATAGAATCTATGAGTGGTGGTTACCTGCAGAAAATATCGAACGTACTAGATCACTTCACTAGTGACTTTGGAAACTCGATGGAAGGAAATGAAGATGAGCGATTGTGTTGGTGAGATTTCTGTACAGTTTTTTGATGATTGGTGAGTTTCATTGAAATTCGGAATACAAAGTGCGATATTTGAAATTCTATATGTGTTTCACGAGCTATCTTGAAAAAAGTTCGTACATAGAAGTGTACTATTCTTCAAAAGTTGGGTCTGAAAAGCATAGAGGTTTCGCAGTAATACGTAGAATCTTGAGAATTACCTGATACTTTCGATTTGATTTTGTTGATTTATTTTTCCTTCATCTTTCTCAAAAATATATTTTGAGAGCAATATATCCCATGTGATGAATGATAGGAATGTGATAAAGACTTCGAAATGCAGAATAGCAATAATTTCATTCTCTTGTGAAAATAACCACTCACCAACATTCCCTCTTCTACAAGTTTTTTCACTATTGCTGCTCCGATACCTGAACTTGCTCCTGTGACAATCGCGACCTTGCCTTTCCAGCGTTCCATTGATAACACCATGATGCCACTTCAAGATTGAGCAGATATCTGGAGAAAAGAAACGTAGGTAATCATTGAACTTGTTCGATGTTGAAGTTCCCCGTCTTACCGTTAGATGCCACTAAAGTCAGCCAAACCGTGTTTCATTTTTGAAAATAGGGTTTTTGTTGGATTGATGTGCGAGTGATGTTCGAAGCAATGTACCTATTGCGATACATCTAAATTGGTAGCAAATTGAAAAAAACGACTCTCCTTGTTAGAAAGACTCAACAGATTGTCTCTGGTCTGATTCCTGGCCATACTGGCTTGGAAGGCAATGAGGCTGCTGATTCCCTAGCAAAGAAGGGTGCTGTAAGCAGCTTCATCGGACCAGAACCTGTCATTGGCATCTTCGTTTGGCAAAGCCATGAACACATGGATGGTAAGAAAATTGATTGACTTCTGGCAGAATCTTCCAGGATTGGTTCAGTCCAAGGTGTTTATTCAACATTTGTTTGGAAAATGATCTAATAGTAGAGCACATATTTTATGCCTGCCCCACTGGGGGCCGAATCAGGTTTTTAGAGTTCGGCAGAGCCGTTCTCTTATCATTTGACCTGAAAGATCACTCACCATACAAAATAATCGGCTTCGTTAAAAAGCTGGGTTTATTTGGTCGAGTGTGAATAGGTATGAGCCACAATAAATCCTTACGGGTTGCGATGAAGAGTCGAATAGACTCACTCACTTTCACGATTGTTTTATTATATAACTTAAATGTACTCCAGTTATATTAACTATACGTGATTTCAATGTGATAACTACATAAAAATTTTTCTCGTGCTTTTTTTGTACATACTGAGAGAAAATTCATTCTTTTATATTATTCACTATAATCTATTTAATATTGATATGATATAACCCACGCACAGGTTTAACCTTTTGTGGAAACTTCATGTTTATTTTTCGTTAACTGAGATTATTGTAGGTATATTTCAAACTTAAAGATGATGTTTGATTCTCTAATACTCTCGTTTTATAACCACTGCGATACAGTGTATAGCCCTTGCTCAGAAATACGTTGTATCCACAAAATACAATCACCATGTGTTCGACTGATCCATAGAATTCGTGAATTTGAACGCATATAAGTTACAGGAAAACTCAAGTAACTAAAATGGCTAACTATGTTCAACAGATGACATCAAATGACTTGCATGTTCTACAATATATTCACGTCGGGTACACCTCTCTACTAACACAAAAAACTGAAATTCAGAACTGATGTAGATACACCATCTGAACATTCGTCGACAAACAATTCTTACAATCCCAAAATATTCCAAAAAAATATACTCTCTTTTACCATATCGCATCATACATCAATAATATCCATAAACTGTATAGTTTACTTTTGAATTCACCCAGAATCACATTCAGCCATAAATTCAAAGAGTATTTGCTGAGCATTTAGCGAATCTAACTTAGCACCTGATACGCTCTCTATTTCGTTTCTCTAGACCTAATTTTTCTTTTCTTCTTTTGACTCTTCTCTCTTATCTTTTGGTTCTATTTCTTCCTATTTCAGGTGTTGGAAATCATTCACCTATATTGTTATTCTCAACTTTTTGGGAATCGGTGGAAAAATAAAAACAGTGCACAACTGTTATCTGAACCGGATTGCCATTTATTTACCATGAACATTTTATATATTGTCTCATGTAATATTACCTCATAATATATCCTCAGTTACATTTGTGATTGGTAGAAATAGTAAATAATGAAAGTATTATTATTATTATCGATAATTTTCACAGCGTACCAAATAATGATTTCTGTAAATGAAGTTTTCGGTGCGCCCTCAGAATCTGTCATTTTTTTTGCTACAACTCTGTGAATCTACCCAATGATACGTTATAAAGTTATGAAAAATAGTATACAGGGTGTAACATAAGTACGTTGAAATATTCAAGTAACGTGTTCCTGAAACAATTTAAAGAAAAAAAAGTTTATATGAACTTGTGTCTGGAAATGCTTCGTTATTTTGACGCGATCCACCACATATTCAGTTTTTGTGATGTTTTCAGTAACTTCACTTAGAGCCCTAGGAGTGAAGTAATTTGCATCGATATAGAAAATTGTAAATATTCCGAATACGATCACATCCAGCGTAGTTGAGGAAGTGTAACTTTATTAATTGGAAAATGTGAGGGAATTAGGTTTTTTCATGGAAAGTACCAAAAGAGTACTGTCAAAAAGGTTAGGGCATTTAGAAATGAATAATGATCGGACACAAGTTTATATTGCTTTTTTTCTCAAAATTGTCTTAGGAGTTTGTCACTTGAATATTTTATTGGCGTGAAGTTATCCACAGATTTACGGCTACACATGCTGACGTAGAGGAAAATAAAAATCTGTGGTTGGGATATTAAATTATAAGCACCCGTACTAATATCTGTGGCTGGAAATACCTATTCACTATATGTTGAACGTGAAATTATTAAGACTATTTGGTGTATAACTTTTTTATAGAATCTTGAGTAGATTGAAGCGTTGATAACCGTTTTCTCATCAACAATACAGATTTAGGAAAGAATACTAATGGAAATATCAGACTTCCTTTCCAATACTCAATGTAGAAATGGCACCAAATGATGTGCGTTCATGAAAATCACACAACTCTTATAAAATCGGGTAGATCAACATAGTGAAAACTGTTTTCTTGTCACCCATACAGATTTCCAAAAAAAATTGTTGAAACAATCAGACTCATTTTTTGAGATTTTATGCACCCACATCATCAGGTTCCAATTCTACAAGGGGTTTTAAACAGTTAGTCCGATTGTTTCAACAATTTTAGTCTCGAAATCTGTATGTGTGTTTTTTTTCTGATTGATTCGGCCGTTACTTGTTGAAGATCCCTAGTAATTTCATAAACTACACCTCACCAGGTGCCGTTTATGAAAAAAATTGTATGTGTGACAAGAAAACGGTTTTCACTATGTTGATCTACTCAAGATTCAAAAGTTCTGTTATTTCCATGAACGCACATCTCTTGGTTACAATTCTACAAGGAATCTCAAAAAATGAGTCTGATACCACTATGTCAATCTACCCAAGATTCCACAAGACTTGTTCGATTTTTGATGCACGCACATCGTCTGGTTTCAATTCTACAAGGGGTTCCAAAAAGTTGGTCTGATTGTTGCAAACATTTTTTTTTTGGAAATCTTTATGGTGACAAGAAAACGGTTTTCACTATGTTGATCTACCCGAAATTCAATAAAAGTTTTGTGATTTTCATGAACGCACATAATCTGGTTCCAATTCTACAAGGTGTTTTAAAAAGTGAGTCTGATTGTTTCAACATTTTTTCCTGGAAATCTGTATGGGTGACAAGATAACTGTTATCATTACATTAATCTACCCGAGATTCCATACACTTGTTCGATTTTCATGCACGCACGTCATCTGGTTCCATTTCTACAAGGGTTTGAAAAGTTAGTCTGATCGTTTCAACAATTTTATTCTCGATATCTGTATGGGTGACGAGAAAACGGTTTTCATTTTGTTGATCTACCCAAGAAACTATGGAAGTTGATGAACGCACATCATCGGGTATCATTTCTACATGGGGTATTGGAAAGTAAGTCTGATATTTCCAATATTATTCTTCCCTAAATCTGTATTGTTAATGATAAAACGGTTATCAACGCGTCAATCTACTCAAGATTCTATTAAAAAGTTATACACCAAATAGTCTTGATAATTCCACGTTCAACCTATAGTGATAGGTATTTCCAGCCACAGATATTAGTACGGGTGCTAATAATTTCGTATCTCAACCACAGATTTTTATTTTCCTCTACGTCAGCATGTGTGGCCAGAAATCTGTGGATAACTTCATGCTAATGAATATTTTAACGTTCTTATGTTACAACATGTATGTGTAAATGTTTGTCACTTGCGAAATTTGAAGTGAAATAATTATTTCAGTATACATCATTATTTATTAGTGAAACCTTCCTCAAATTAAAAGTCAACTCACATTTATTTGCCATAAAACTTTATCAAAAAAACTTCGATATAATTTTATGTTCAATTTCACGTATGTTGCACATATATGGTAATTTAATTTCAATGCCAATTCCACACATGTAGAAAATTTATGTTGAACGAATGAAGAAAGAAATGTTTCATTATCAAAGTTTCGAATGGACCGATAAGCCTTATCTGATGAATCACAGTAGCTATGAAAAAATATCCGTTTTAGGAAAATATATCCGCGTTCATTTTGAAACCATCAAGTTTACGGAAAAAGCTAGAACTTTTTATCGAATACATAATGGAAACAATGGAGAAAATAATACAAAAGTAACATGACAGGAAACCAGAAAATGTCACATTATGGAAAATAAAAAATGTAGGAAACATCCGAAGAAACAAAGTTTTTTTTCTGCTTGAATAACGATTACTTCGAATCTACCGATCACCATTTAGCACGGTATTGTTCTGGAAGAAATACAACTTTTTCAATAATCAAAATAGGTCTGACGATTGTTTCGAGAAGAGATACATACGCATAAGGAAAATGAATATACAAAATACTCACTTCTCTCAACGAGCCTACACAGTCTAATTTACCATGTTTGCAGGAAAATACTACTTTCCCGGTTGACACTACGTTGGATATTCAATACAAGTTGACAGACATTTGTACAAATTCTCTCGAAAAAGACATTCTTGCAGATACTTTCCTATCGTTCAACAGCAGGAGTATTTCCCTTCGTCAGTTCAGGAAATATGCGTGAGATACACTTCCGTCTTAGTTGAATCTATCCTTATTGATGAAGGGTAATACCCCGCCTTGTTTATCTATACTTATAAATGCGAAAGTCACCGACTTATTAATCTCTGTTTCTCCGCACTGGCAAGTCCTAGAAAGCTTGAATTAGGTACATAGGTCCTTCTTGGGTCTAAGATGTGAAGTAAGAAAGGATTTTCAAATATTTCAACTGGGGCTCCCCCGTGAGTGTGAAAGGAGGGCGTTGAAAAATGAAAATTATTTTTTTATTACTGTTTCTCCGTACTACCATATTCTCGGAGGTTGACATTTTGTATGGAGGTTCGTTTTATGTTGTAGATGTGCGATAAGAAAGGATTTATGAATATTCCAACTGGGGCGCCAGCCGCGGGAGAAAAGGAGCGTTCATAAAATAAAGTTACCTTTCCATCACTGTTTCTCCGTACTGCAATATTTTTGGAAGCTGAAATTTTGTATATAGGTTTGCTCTATGTTGTAGACGTGCAATAAGGAAGGATTTTTGAATATAACAACTGGGGCTTCTTCACCGGGGATAAAAGGGGAGCGTTCACATATGAAAATTACCTTTTCATCACTGTTTCAACATACCGCTATATTTTCGGAGGCTAAAATTTTGTACATAGGTTTGTTCCATGTTGTAGATGTGCAATGAGGAAGGATTTTTGAATATTTCAATTGAGGCGTTCCCCGTGAGGGTGAAAGAGGGGCGTTTACATATGAAAATTACTTTTTCATCACTGTTTTTCGGTACCGATATACTTTCGGACGCCAGAATTTTGTATGTAGGTTCGTTTTATGTTGTAGATGTGCAAAAAGGAAGGATATTCAAATATTCCAACTGTGGCGCCAGCCGCGGGGGTAAAGGAGTGTTCATAAAATAAAGTTACCTTTTCATCACTGTTTCTCCGTACCGCTATATTGTCAGAGGCTGGAATTTTGTAAATAGGTTTGTTTTTTGTTGTAGATGTGCAATAAGGAAGGATTTTTGAATATTTCAATTGGGGCTCCTTCACCAGAAATAAAAGGGGAGCGTTCACATATGGAAATTACCTTTTTAGCACTGTTTTTCCGTACCGCTATATTTTCGGAAGCTGAAATTTTGTACATAGGTTTATTGCATATTGTGGATGTGCAACGAGAAAGGATTTTTGAATATTTTAATTAGGGCGCCCCCCGTTAAGGTAAAAGAGAGGCGTTTACATATATGAAAATTACTTTTTCATCACTGTTTTTCCGTATCGATATACTTTCGAAGGCCGGAATTTTGTATGTAGGTTCGTTTTATGTTGTAGATGTGCAATGAAGAAGGATATTCAAATATTCAAACGGCTGGCGCTCCAGTTTGCAAATTAAAAAAAATGTGTTGCACACCTACACTTCCCAAAGTCGAGTCGAGTCGAGGACAAAGTCCAGACTTCGGAAAAACTTGGAATTTACGAAAATGAATGTAAGGACTGCGATGCAAAATATTATGGACAGACAAAAAGATCTATTAAAGTAAGATATAAGGAACACATAGCACACTTAAAATATGGAAGACCTGAAAAATCACCAGTCACCCATCATATTTTGCAACAAAACCATTCCATAGACTTTAGTTCATTAAGATTAGTTAGACAAGTTAACAACAACAGGCAACTAGATACCTATGAGAGTGTAGAAATAAGTGAACACAATAATATTATGAATAACGGTGACGGACCTATACCAAAGAGCATACTATATAGCTTGTTAAAATAATATTGTTGGGTTTACTGATTACTACATAAGGACACATTAGGTTGGTATACCTGTATGGGAGGTGCACCTGGATGGGTTACCTGTCTGGGATATCTACATTTTATGTGACAGGCAATATCTGGTTTGTTGAAGGAGATATACAAAAATGTTTCATACAAAAGTTTTAGGAGTTCATGAGAGCTATATTTTGATATAATTTTTAAATATACAGGTTGTGTATCTCCTTCAACAAACCAGATATTGCCTGTCACATAAAATGTGGGACACCCGGTATATAGCATAAATAGGGTTAGCTTCGCGTTAGTTTCTAGTTTTAATCTTCGTCTTTGAAGATGATCACTTGGTGATCAAAACACGTGTCTAGGTGTTAAAAATAACGATTTGGTGTTGGGAAAAAACTCCAGTAATATTCATTACTACATCAAAGGTTCCAAACAGTACATCATAAGTACTATAGGCCATTGATTACCAACTTCTTTTGGCTTGTTCAGTACACCGGATCATGTGGAGAAAAAAAAAAGACATAAATCATAATCATCATTAAGGATACTCCTTTTTATTTGAAATCATGAAATAAAAAACTCTTTCAGTTTATTTAACATATTGTATTAGAACTGATGCATTGAGAAAAAATTATTATCTGGTTACCGACATTTTTGCTACTGTGAACATTCAGTCCACTATAATAACTCATTCACTGGTTTTATCGTCAACTCAAGCACCTGAAAAATAGAAAATGAAAATCATTAATGTAATTGGAATGAAAAATACATTATTTTGAAATGCTCCCACAAACAGCATGCGTGTACATGACATTTGAATGGAAATTCAATGAAAAATGAATGAAATTGAATGAAAAATTATCACATTTTCACTATATTATAAAAAATTGAAATGGCACATTAAAGAGACTGAAATTGGGTGGAGAGCATCTGTTTTCTACAAAACTGTGGCAGATTTTGGCTGCTTTCAAGTCATTTTATTTTTCTGAACTTTCACGACGGGTCACAAAGAATATTTCAAATTATGTAAACTATGATGCATTCTATTGACTATTATTTGCAGTGAAAAGTATATTGTTTTATCCCATTTTCATAATCAGAATAACTTTTCTAGATGATTTTATCTTGTATCATATCATTTTATATTTTGTATCGTCCAAATGTTTATTCAAAATGCCATAACCTTGAAGTCCAACGAAGAGGGCGCACCGGCGTCACGTTCCAATAACCACTCCTTACACTGTGAAGTGAGCGATATTTGGGTCTGACAATCGTGTGCTATAAGTGGACGTAATGAGTCAAGACTGACAAGCATTTTGTGTTTGAGAGTAGAGAGAGCATCATTTCACGTAAGACTTCAACAATCCAAATAATCATTTCAGCAGTGGATAGAGTCTGCCAAGCTCAAAAGAAAGAAATAAAAAAAGATATATCATCATTTTTTCTTTCACTTTTCGGACATTGCTCGCCTCATCTAGGGTAGAAAACTGTACTTTCATGGTTGATGAGGACTGCATCAGTTCGTGCTAGCCTGAGGCTAAATAGTTCTGATAGATTTGGCACTTCTGATTTTCCAAAACGGATTCAACACGGGTGTCTCTTCAATACCGTAGAAGTGTCGAAGATAGTGGTTGGCACTTTCATGGTCATATCATAGATATAGACTATTGGTTTTAGTATAGGTACCAATATTCGTTGTGGAGTATAAGATCCTTGCTCATTATTTGAGGAAGATGAAATTGGTGTAAGATCTACTGTTAGAGATAATCAACTACATCCAAGTATCAGGTTATTCATCTTTCACGTAGACAATGGCAACAAACTTTCGAATTGGCTACGTCAGAATGAAACCAATGAGACATCCAGGACGAGAAAAATTTGAAAGGGTAGCAATATTGGAGAAGGCGAAAAAGTTACCAAAAATAAGAGGAAGACTCATGAAATTCACTCTGAAGTACTATCGAAAATTCTACTACTTCTATACTTTTGTAATATTTCATAAGTGTGCCATCTATTTATGTGCGAATATTTGAGAACTGCTCTGTTCGTATATAGACAAGGAAAACCAGAAGAATATTGTTTGTCTCTAGCAGTTCCACTTGCGATATGTGTGACATTGCTCTGCCCTTGATTTTTAAAACCCAGACAAAATATTCTTCACAAGAAATTGAAAGCAGAACTACAGAAAAAGCAGGAAACAGTAACGTCGTCATAATTCAAGGTCATTCTCAGTTATTAGGCAAAAAGCATACATTTTTTCTACTTGACACTTACGTTAACTCCGGCAGGTGTTGATAAGGTATAATGAACTCCATCAGCAATATCTTCTGGAGAAAGGAAAGGCATATCATTGTCCTCAACTTGTTTCTTGATACTTTGATGATTTCCAGATGTGAAAAAATCAGTTGTCACAATACCAGGACTGATACTCTGAAATATTCAAAACGATACACATACATGAAATGATATTGGAGAAAAGTTGTTAATCAGGATATACTAAAGAGTTTTGGTCTCAAAACGAACGTTGATTCTTCATTACATGTGAAAATTACATGTTTCTATATTGTATTTCAGTTGTACATCATTATACAGGGTGGCCACCACATTCGCCTCGGTATTTCTACGAGAAATGAAGAGAGTAAGGAAAACTTTCAGCACAGTTATATGTGGGTCAATGACGAGCATATTCCAAAATTATTTTGAAATATATAGCGTGATTCACAAAAAAGTTACATACCAAAGGTATATTTTTTCGTATGAAACACCCTATATTTTTTTATAGTTTTAGATACTATAGATAAAATGAAGGTGAGTTACTATTATATTTCCCATACTTAAAACTGACCGTTTCTGATAAATTTTGAGGAATTTAAAAATACAGACCAAAATTAAAAATTGTGTTCACCCTGTAACGTGTAACGAGCTGCTCGTGATTGAATGTACTGCTTAGCTTGAAGGTTAGAGTTAACTACCACAAGATATTTTTGATGCAATATTATTGAGAGTGGCGAAAAAAATTGCCTCAAAATTTGGACACACATTAAATTAAATAACTTCNTTAGCTTTATATGCATGCAAATTCATTGATCTTTTCAAATCTTTTTTCAAATTTCCAAAATTTTGAAAATTTTCCGAGATATTGAGAAAAAACCAAAGCCCAATTTTTTTTTCACTCAATTGTTTATAACTTTTGTGATTTTTATCGGCGCGTTTTCGGACCTTTCATTAAACTTTCTAGGCAAAAATACGAATCCAATGACACCTTGGTCGTAATTTTGGACAGTGCTGAAAAATGTCACCAAAAAGAGCTAAATCGAGTACATGTGAATCAGACTAATGGAACGAAACGCTCTTTTTATTCGTACTTTCATATCCTGGGGTATCGTTGGCGGTGTATCGTGAACAATACTTTTGATATTTCCCCACAAAAAATAGTTGGGACTTGTAAGGTCCGGAGATCTGCTGGCCAGTTCTGTGGACTTCCTCTTCCTATCCATCTATTTGGATATTGTCGATCTAACTCGTTTCTAATACGTCTATTAAAGTGTGCAGAAGCACCATCTAGCTGCATCCACAGACGCTAACGAATATTAGGAGGTATACTTTCCAACAGCATAGGCAAATTATCCCTAATAAATCCGAGAAACATGACGCTGTTTAAATGACCATCAAAAAAGTAAGGACCTACTACTTGCGTTCCAATTTTTCCACCCTACATATTAACAGACCATCTTTGCTGGTGGTCAAGGGTTCTAAAAATATTAGGGTTTTCGTCACTGTAGTAGTGAAAGTTATGTCTGTTAACTAACCCGTTGTTATGAAAAGTTGACTCATCGGAAAAAAGCACATAATCAAGAAGAATTATAAGAAAAATTGATCCTGTTACCCAACCAACCCCCTAGTTGACATAAAGTATATGATCTGCTGTTTCATCATTTTCCAAACAGATGCGACACACACTGTCTTCCGACAGTCCAAGTCTCTGCATATAATGAATCAAATGACAGTGACCTGTTAGACATCGTAGTTCATCCCTACTGAAGTCCAATAACTGTTTGGTATCAAGCTTCGAAGGGTCAATAGACGCCTTGGAGTGAGCCAATCCTGGAAGATTCTGCCAGAAGTCCATATATATTCTTGCCATCCAGGAGTTCAAGGTTGGTTTGGAAAAGCCTAAAGCGATACCAATGATAGGTTCTGGTGCGGTGAAGCTACTTGTCTTTGCAAGGGAGTCAGCAGCTTCATTGCCTTCCAGGCCAGTATGGCCAGGAATCCAGACCAGAGACAATCTGTTAAGTTTTCCTATCGAAGAGAGTCGTTTTTGACAATTTGCTACCAATTTAGACGTTGCTCGGTAGGAGCCAAGAGCTTCCAACGCCGCTTAACTGTCCGAGAATATTTTTATTGACTCGTGCATGAGGTTGGATTTATTCACTTGATCCGCACACAATTCAATAGCGTAAATTTCCGCTGAAATACAGTCGCATAAGTTCCTAGGTAGGTAGACATCTCTGTCCTGCACCTGCACCAGAACCGGAAGGTGTTTTCGATCCATCTGTGAACCAACATCTATCTGCTCTTAATATTTCCTTCTCCCGGAAAATCCAGTCCTCTCTATTTGGGAATAGTACTTTAAGGCAGCTCGTAGTTGACAGTTGGAGCCATAAAGTCAGAGGTCATTTTCAGAATGCTGTGACTTTCAGTATCAACCAATAGTCTGTTGCACTCTGCTACGAATTGATTTGTGCAATTGGCAATGTGCACAAGTCTGTATGCAGTCCATCTAGCTCCTCTCCAGAAAAATGTGGAGAGGAGGTAGATCTGGAACGATATTCATGGCCGCTGACGGTGTGGTACTGATGGCACCACTGATAGCCAGACAAGCCTGTCTCTGTTAGCCAGAGAGCTTCGCTTAGGCCGTTTTCTGTAAAGCCTCTGGCCACCAGGCAATTGCACCATAAGTGATCATTGGTCTAACAATCATCACATAGATCCAGTGGATTTGGGACCCAAGCCCCAAGTTTTACCACAAATCCTTCGATATGTCCATAGAGACAGTCTGGGTTTGTGTAAAACTTTTTCCAAGTGGGTGTTTCAGGTGAGTCTCTCATAAAGGATAATGCCAAGATATTTCACCTCCGTTCTAAATGGAATGACCTCACCATTGAGGGAAAGTGACGTAAGATCATCCAATTTTCCCATTTCGGTGAAGGGGATTGACGCAGTTTTGGTGGGGTTGACAGACATCTGCTCCCTCAGGCACTAACTGTAAACAATGTCTAACTCGCTTTGGAGGATATTAGAAGCTACTCTTTCCGACATGGACCTTGCCAGGATGACGAGGTCATCTGCATAAGCTTGCAGATCAACTTTTCTTCTGTCGAGGGCATCAAGCAGACTATCCACCAGGAGCGACCACAGAAGGGGAGGTTGTACCCCACCTTGAGGGCAGCCCCTGGTGACCCTGAACCTGATAGCCTCGCCTTGAACAGTCGTAGTTGCAGTTCTGTTTACTAGCATGGCATAGATTCAGCCAGTTATGGTTGATTCTATACCCTTCCTAGCCAAAGGCAATCCTATAGATTTAGGTAGTGCATTGTCAAATGCTCCTTCAATATCAAAAAATACACCAACCGCAATCTCCTTGTTGTCAAGGAATTGGGAGATTTTCTCAACGAGGTTGTTTGATGCTAAATCTGTCGATTTGCCGGTTTGATGAGCATACTGTAGATTATTCAGGGGGATGCATGTAGTACCATTCTCCTGATGTGTCCGTCTAGTATTCTCTCAAGTCCTTTCAACAGCAAGGATGTAAGGCTGAATGGTCGTATGTCAATAAGGTCAATAAGCTGAAAAAGTGGGTACCTCACGATTTCGACGATTTCATCCATCACTTATTTTTGTTGACGATATATTATCAGATGAGATGATTGTATAGTTTCAAATAGTTCAGCCAGTACAGCTAGTTCAGCCACAAATTTCTACGGAACCTTCAGGGAGTCCTACTCTATTTTATGTTTTGTTTCGACTTTTTTTGAGTTCCCGAGAAAAAGTCGAAATCAAAGAAAGGAATCAAGACATAATAAAAAATTGCGTGTTATTTTTATACTGTTACATATGTTTCATACCGTAATCCTTATTTTCAACTTCATCTTGTTGATCTCTTGTCTCAATGTTTCTGTTAGAGCTGTTACTGCGTGTTTTGTTGCGGGATATATATTCAGTCCTTCCAACACTGGTAGTCTATGCCCCAATATGCTATTGATGTGGATGATGTGACCATCGATATGATTTTTCTTCATATCCTTGACCGCTTCCCTAGTTGCGATGCAGAGCCCTTTCGACAGAACAAAATGAATCTATTAAGAATTAGCTAGATATAAAATTTCTTTTACAAAATGGAATTCAGGTTTCTATTATGGTTCTATTCTATTATTTTTTTCACAAGCACTAAAAAAGTAACAATATTGAAATCAATCTGACGTTTTGTACTACCAAAAAGACACTTAGCCAGAAATTCATTTGGTCGTACTCCTGTTCGCGATGTAAAGGACTTGAGAAACGGCATCATCGATGCATGCAGGGTAATCAGAGAGACTCCAGGAATATTTGAGCGAATACGTGGCTCAATACGCTTACGTCTAGACGCATGAGTAATGTCTGAAGGTAGACATATTGAACATTTACTATGCAACTTTCCAACACCTCTGTACTTCCTGGTGATGAATGGTTAGAGTTGAGACTACTCCTTCCACCCAAAATCATGTGTTTTTTTTGTAGTTCTCGGTATCTTGAAAATTTTCAGAAAATTATTTTCGAATATAGGTTTCATTTCATTTGATTCTGGGAAATGAAACACCGATTTCGGCGCCAAAATCTCAGACTGGCAACTTCTCTCTCCTTGTAATATCAAGGTGATATTTTTTAAACCATCACATTTCAAGCTTATGTATGATTAATGGATGATCCCTTATCACAAGCACAACGACAAAACATTATAAATATCTCTACTTACCTAGAACATTCACGTCTATAGTTGTCTTCCACTTTTCAGTATCCCCCTCAGCCAAGGTGGATTTGAAAGAACAACCTGCGTTGTTTATCAATACATGGACGGGTCCTATATTTTCAGTCACGTATTTGAATGAACTCAGTATGTCGGACTCCACGGACATGTCACATTGATAAGGATGGAATTTTCCCTTTGACGTGTGTAATTGCTGTTCAAGGTCTTTCATACGGTCCAGACGCCTCGCAAGTCCAACAACCTGAAAAAAAATCACGACAATGTTACTATTCGAAATATAAGTTGATGAATGATTCTATGCGTTGATATTCTGAATCAGAAATTAAACCTCTGAAGGTGTGATCTTGACCAAAAATAAATTTGTGTGTAGATAGTGGGAAGGACTATCCATAACGAATCATCAGAAAATGAAATATATTGTCAGTATTACTAGTTTGAAGCTACACGACATGCTGCATGGAAAGGACCTTGGAGTACCTCTGCCGGGTAAAGTGGTGTTTCTAAATGATGCACCATCCTGAGATGTCTGTATCCATGCAAAAATCTTCCAAATACCAGGTGTCTCCTCGTTGTAGAAAGCCTTGCCACAGTCGAAGTACCTTCGTAAGGACCTTGACGTTAAAACCTTCTTTCCCTACCTTCTTTTCCTATCTTTTCGTGGGATTTTCCATGGAACACGAAGTAACCAAAGAAGTCGAGTCTATTGAGGAGATGGTTGTCGACTAAACAAATCGAAGTACCTTTTCTGCAACATGGGATCAAGAGTAAGACCTGCTCAGATCTTCAACTCGTGATCCTGTTAACAAACCTAAGTGCCAAGATAATACTGCCAGAAAGCGATTCAGTGCCTCCTCGAATGAATGATATTCTCTGGCATCTGCCTTGCACCAAATTCTTGAGAAGTAGATACGGACTGCATTAGGATTGGAAACAAACTTCCAACTAGCACCCAAAGCAGAAGCAGAAATGTCCTGCAGAGCTACATTCAATTCGTCTTCGGATATAGCTGCCTTTCATCGTTGCCTTCACATAGTAAGGCTGCCGCGGTCATTAAGGTGTGAATATTATACTTCGAACATAGGACAATTTTTTTATCTACCAATGAACTAGAATATTTTTTGTTTGAAACGATAGTTGCTGCAGGGGAAAATCTAGAAGATTGTCCATAGATAAGTTGTCTGGAAACAGGTAACCTTCAAGAATATGTTCTCCCGGACGATGCATAAAGAGATTTTTCCAGAAATGTTGTATAGTATACCAACACGCATTTGTGTTGCTTACCTGATAAAGGTAGTCATAGACTGATCTTCGATCAGGCCCGCACTAGATTGGAGAAAATGTACCATGGTCTGTCAACCTTGCGATGGACTATTCTTTACTTCGGGTTGTAGTGAAGGGTGGAATAAACCCACTCACTCTGGACCCATCTACCCACCTACTCGTCTATGGTTACTGATAGCTTTGACATAACTTCACTATGATGAATTGAAGGGGTTATATTTTTTAGGAGTGATTAATTTTTGGGAAAGAAAGTTTTTGGCTTTCTACTACTCCATCTTGTATCAAGATACTCCATCTTGTATCAAGATGGAGTAGTAGAAAGCCAAAAACTTTCTTTCACTAAGATGTTCGAAAGATCATTGCTTGGTAACAACATAAGAGGTTTTCTTACTTGAGGGCTTTCATTTCTCGAAATACAAAAAGACGTTTGGGAGTTTTCTGTTCCAGTTCTTCCAAGTCACTAGAAGGATAACGATAAACTTCAATTTAAATGTGACTCCTAATGGAAAATGGCAATGATGCTGCTGACTGCCTTACAAAGAAGGGTGCTGCAAGCAGCTTCATCGAACCAGAATTTGTCATTGGCATCGCTTTAGGCTTTGCCAAACAAAGATTGAACACCTGGATGGCAAAAAGATTTATTGACTTCTGGCAGAATCTTACAGAATTGGCTCAATCCAAGCCGTTTATCCACCCTTCGAAGCTTGATGCCAAACAGTTGATGGATCATAGCAGGGATGAACTACAATGTCTAACAGGCCTTCTTACAGGCCACTGTCATTTGAATCATCATATGCAGAGACTCGGACTGTCGGAAGACAGTGTGTGTCGCCTGTGTTTGGAAAATTATGAAACAGCAAAGCACATACTATGTGATGCCCTGCTGGAGACCGTATCAGGTTTTTAGAGTTCGACAGAGCCGTACTCTTACCATCTGACCTGAAAGACCACTCACCTTACAAACTAATCGGCTTCTTTAAGAAGCTGGGTTCATTTGGTCGGGTGTGAATAGGTGCGCGCCACAATAAACCCTTGCGGGTTGCGGTGGAGGGTCAAATAGACCCACTCACTTCAGACCTAACCTAAAATCTGGAGAAGTAAGGTCTGGTGATGCAGATGTCCCTAGGGAGCCACCATACTGGAACGCTATTACCAATTCACATGTTTCATTTTCTCCTATTCAATTTTCCTCGCATATTCCATAGTGGTGTGTGAGCATAACACTATGTTTACCATATTGGAGATACTGTGAATTAGTCAGTGGAATATTTTGATGCTTCATTCTATTTGTCGATGCGGTGTTTTCTCAACATTCATCTAGAAAATCTTATTTTACGTAACATAAGTCAACAGGTTTTCAATTATTAGTCCAATAGTTGAAAGTAAAATACAACTATACTGTTTAATATTTCTAAACATTTTTTTTACCTAGGTTTTGACCTAACCCAATATTTCTAAACATCGTCGGTTAGTAAAAAAATTGGCATTAGTGTAAACTTCACTACTTCAAAGATGACCCTATTACGGTAGTTGCTTCCACCTTGGTGATGGATGCTACCTATACTCGTAGGTCAAAAATGTTTCATTGGAAGTAAGCCCGGGCCTGAATATATCAATTATTTCAAAGCGACTGTTGATCTATGAAATTTGTACTTACTCACGAATGAAAGTCAATTTTTTGAGGAATAAATCCATGTTTCTACACGGATTTTATCGAATAGCTCAAAAAGTAAGTATTTCATAGGAAAAAATCATCACGAGCAAAAACATCACTTATGAAAGGACAGAAAACTGGTCGAATTATCCAGTAGACTCAATAAAAATGCAGTAATAGAATATAACTGGCCGATACTTGATGAAAAAAACTAATTATTACAGTTTTTTGTATAATTTTCACTATAAGGGTTTTACAAAAACCGCGACACGTGTTTCGCTATACGTGAAATTTACGCTTGAGGAAGCTTTTCTATAGCGAAACGCGTGTCGCGGTTTTTTTAAAACCTTTTATAGTGAAAATCATACAATAAACTGTTTCAAAGTGAAGTACAAATAAATTCATTTTTCCATAAAATTTTGTATACCTAAGCTTTTATGAAAAGTAAGAAAACCTTCACTTACTTCGTGGCCTTGAAGTGGGTGCACAAATGAATGACTTATGAGCGTTCTTGCATCGTCTCAACTGTAGTTTCAGGTTTTGAAGTGAATGATAACCAGTTAATCAGAAATAAACGAAATAATAATGTCAATTTCATGGAGAACTACAGAAAAGTTCATATGTATATTGAAGTATATAACCTACCACCATTCCGTCTTCTACAAGCCTCATCACAATTGCTGCTCCGATACCTGAACTTGCTCCAGTGACAATGGCAACCTTGCCTCTCCAGCGATCCATTGATAACACCATGTCAAGTCAAAATTTAGAAGATATCTGAAAAAAGACGTGAAGATTATTTGATTTCGTTTTAGATAATGGAGCTTGTAATAACATTGCAATACTTTTATTTCTGCTCTAACTGGTGCTAAGTAGGGGAGACCGGGGCTGGTTGGTACGCTTTGCAAATTGAAGCCCCTCTAATTTTTTTATTGATAGCTAGTGGGAAAATACATTTGATTTCCAGATAAGTGTTGTTTTGTTTATATAAATTTCAAATTACATAATGTTTGGACCTATCCTAAATCCAGAATTTAATTTTTTCCTTAAGGATGCAGGTGTACCAAGCAACCCCGTATTTGGGGATGGTTGGTACATACCTTGGGATTGGTTGGTTATGGCAAACACTAAGAAAATGATTATTGTTTTTATTTTTTATGTAAGAATCAGCTTGCAAAAAAGTTATAATACAAAAAAAAACGGTACCTACCCGTTTTAGAAGTGAATAATCTAGTCAGAACCATCCGAATCACAATTATGACAAACGTAGAACAAGCCCGCATCTGCGCATTTTTCATGTGCCCACAATTTGCACTGGGTGCACTTAATCCATTTCTCTTTAGGCAAACTATTTGACCAGGGTTCAACGCAAAGCAGGCAGGAGGTTTCTTCATCACTGCTTGAATCGTCTTCAATTTTTGAATTCTTCGCATTTGCTTGTTTTTTGTGTTCTTTTTGGTTTTGCCAAAGACCTGTTTTTTAACGATCTCGTTTTATTTTCTTTTTTCTTTTTTTCTTCTCCTAATGCATCTTTAATAGGCGTATCTGTCGAAATTTCAGATTTTCTTTTTGTGCGACCCCGTTGCACTTTCCTTTCTGCGGCTTTTGGAAACTGCTTCAAATTTTCGAAATCTGTAAAATTACAGGTTGCTACCTTGTTAGATGACTGGAGACACTGAGAATTCTGGGGCATGGGCGTCTTACTTTCTGCAATTCTGCTTGGTCCAGCTTGTTGCACATCCTCATTGGGATTAGTCTCTTGGTCTGGCAAGGGGTTGTCGACACGGTTTAAAGCCTCTTCGATGGGTGTAATTTGACCCAGTTCGGGTAGATTTGCTTTAACTCCCAATACTTCACAAGGATTCACGTTTTGCAAAATTGACATCAAACAGTGCCCTTTTCGAAATGCATTGGACGCTTTTGGATCTCATGTGGATTGGTATTATCCCAAATTCGACAACTTTGTTAGTTCACGTACTCATTCATCCAGGAACGGGCTTCATCGCTGAAGATGATTTTTGGTGGAGCACTTTGTACTGCTCCACGAAAAGTCCAGTCAAAAACCCCGATCATCGAAAACACGTCGTTGTTCATGGCCTTTCACTTCCAGTTCCTGGGTCAGTTGAATTTTGTACGGGTGTCCTTCAATTTGCAATTTCCTGGATGAGTTTGTTATACACTGATTTTGATAAAGCATTTGATCGACCCGATCACATGATCCTTCTAGAAAAACTCCACTAATTTGGTTTACATAATTCAGCAGTACTTTTCATTGGATCCTATTTACTCTAACAGCTATAATTCTTTTAATTACAATCCTTCACCTGGAGTACCCGAGGGATCAAATCTCGGACCAATTCTTTTTTTATGCATGAAATTTCGATAAATCAGACCCATCGATTAAAAGACGAAAGTAGTACCGGGAACAAACGAGGTCTCACCTTTCAATATATTATTGAAGTGATCACAGAAATTACACTCGGGCTCAAAAACATTCGCTCTTCCAAATGATGGCCGTTTCTCTACGTTGTTTTTCTCAGACAAAGATTGAATTCTCACACTGAATCATCTTTTTGTCCACGTCATCACGAAATACCAAATACCAAATAATCGTGATTCATCAAATTATACTATCAAAAGAAGAAAACATTAAATACCTGCAAGCTTCTGGATCATACCACTAACACATGTTTGAGCAAAGAAAGTGTAGAGCATAACACGTTCTATATAACATTGAACAACTTACTAGATATAGTATTTCCAATACCAATTGAAAAAGCACAGAGAAGGAATTCCCGCCTCGACATAGGCTTCGGCATATTATTTTTCAGTGGTACTTTTTCAGTTACTTATTCTCACAATCATAGCAATTGATCACCCCATGAAAAAGTTATCTCAACAGAATTTTTCCATCATGGATAATTATGAAAAACCGAAATTTAAGGTAGTTGATTTTCGAGTTGAAAACTCTAAAATAAAATGAAAACCCAAATAATCACACCGAATTCTCGTCAAACATATATTTACAAAATAATAGAGGCCAACAAAATTGCTAGAAAAATCAAAATTCTTCTCCGCTATACTAGGATGAGGTGGAATCATCATCGAGTTGAAAAACGATCGTATTTATGGAAATTTTCACATAATATTTGTTCTCTTCTTTTATAACGCGGGCCACACAGTTCCTCCACACACCACTATTACCTACTTCATTCACCACTCGCCTTATATTGTCAAGCACCACAGCAATCAAAGTCGGTGACTGATTACATTTCCGCAAGCTTTCTTTTATTGTGGCCCAAACCATTTCAATTGGATTGAACAATTGGATAGTATGGAGGCGAACGTAAGAGAATATGACCACGTGTTTCACACATCGAATCAATAATATACTCTTTTTTGAAATTACATTTTTTTATGGTCGCCAGTAATACCTTTTTCGTTGGAATCTTTTCTGGTATTTCCATGTCATGATTTTGCATGAAATCAACAATATTTGCTTTTCTTGTGTTATTGTTTGGTATTGTAGTCAATAACCGAGAATGATACGAAGCGTTATCCATAACAATAACCGAGTTTCGAAAAATTTTTTGGGAGAAGCTGCTTACTGAACCAGGTTTCGAATAAAGCCGCAGTCATATCTTCGTGGTAATCAGCAGACGAATCTTTTATATTTCTGGCCGACAGAAGCAAATCGTTAGGTAAGAAACCACTTTGATTTCCGGCATGCAAAATTATAACACGTTTTCCCCTTGAAGAAAGTGTGTTCAAAGTACAATACTTGGTTTCGTCTACCTAGCCATATTTGACATGACATGGGTGTTAATTTGTCAGCTTTTTAATCTATTGTTGACAAATTAATTTGCAGGTAGTGGTTCCACTAGTTAATTACCGAAAAATCAATTAGGATAATCATCATTTAACAAACAAAGTCCACATCGGACCAAAAAACTTCAGGTATATAAACAGCTAACCCTTGTCTTTAGATTCAGTATCAATTTGCTTCTCCTGAAGATGCTAACCTTGTTAGCGAAACGCGCGTCGAGTGCAAAGGTATCAGTTTGGTGTTAGGGTAATTGATCTCTAGAAAAAGTTTTCAAAAATCGGTTTGCAAAACCAGTCACTACTTCACCTAACCCCACGAACACACGGCACTGATGAAGAATTTTGTGAAACGGACTAAAAATTAGTATTCAGCCAGTCCAGCTAGCCGAGCCTTCATTCCTCAACTACCTTTAATAGCACGTTTACTAACTCTTTGAGCGACTAGGGGCCACAGGCAAGAAATGTTTATGACTGTTGTAACAGGGAAGCTCTGAACATAAAAGCACTAGTAGTATATACATTTCCATTTGTCGGGCAGTGATTATGAACACCCCTCGTAGTGCTCTTATTTTTATTGCCGTTCCAATTGGGAATGGATAGACTATACATATTCACCTTAATGAATTGAAATACGTATAAAACTCATACGAATATTGATTCTTGAAATGATTCATTGCAACCACAATGCCAAAAAAGTAGTGTCAATGCAGGTAACTAAATATCACACTTGATTGTTGCAGCACCTACTCATGTTACTTATAGAAAAAATTTGCAAGATAAATCGTCATTTCATTGAACGAACTGAACGCCTAAACGATGCCAAATCGACCGCCGAACATCAATTGTATTTTACAGCAGCTTTACAAGGCAACTATATGAATTGAGATCCCGAAACATTACTAGGCTGAACCATAAATGCATTGTTGAACTGAAAGAACAAGCCTGAGTGTAAAGGTGAGAGTACATGCTATGGGAAAAGTGAGATATGTTTGTCATTTTGTCGTGAAGATAAAAGCGTAACGAATGAGTGTCAAATGTCAAATACAGCTGGATAACAAAATTGTTCGATAAGACGGTTGGTTAGTACACGTCGACAAAATGTTTGGCAACATTTTACCTGAATGTCAGTTGTTGATGAGTGAATCGTTTTGTTAGTACACGATATGCCCCATAGCGCCATTTGTTTCAGAATTTGGTTTCTTTATCATTGTTCTTTGGTGGAGTACAAACGAGTATAACCAGAGCATAATTGATGTAAGTGTGTGAGGTATCAAACACTTATCGCGAACCTCATCTTCAGTAGAGGAAATGTGAAAAATATAATAAAAAAGCCTTTTCGTTTATATTACCAGAGTTATTCACGTGGTGGTAGTGGTTTGTCGATTGATGAACTTCGACTATAAATGCTTGCTAAACATTATGCAATTTGTTTGCCACTTCGCTTGATTTTTTTTCACATGTGACATTCAGAAAATGTTTCGAGAAAACATTTTCCAAATACATTTGATAATACAGAAAATGAAAAAGTATTAATTGTCAGAAATTGTAATCTTTGAGAACACTTACAATGCCAAAAACTACCAGTGTTCCTTTATATTTGCAATTGCTAACGACTTGTTGCGGAGTCTAGCTTTATATTACAATAGATTATTCAGTTTTTACTCTGTGCATCATTAAAAAATGAGTGAAAAATAAACAATCGTTTATAATGAGCCCGTTCGCGATACTGAAAAGAATAATAATTCATCATTGTATCACCTATAATTGGTTTGAACTGCGCTACTTGGAACTTTGAGCTCAGCTGTCCTAACTTGAAAGTGACTTCGAGAATTTTCTATTAAAAACTGTATCGATAATTAAAATGTGGAGTGTTCTTCACTCACTGACAGCGAACATCAGAAATGGATTTGCATCTGTGAGTATAATACCTGGGCTGAAAAGTGCCGGTCCTA